AATAGTCACCGCATCGCTTAGACCGTAAAATCTCCTCAAATCAAAGTCGAACGGTTCATACCAGAAGAACCGTTACCAAATGAAGAATCTCTTCACTTGGTGGCCGTTTGTTAGCTGATGGACGAATCGATAGCTCCTGCCAGCGTAAATCAGGAAGGAAAGGAAAGTGTAGGAATGGAATTAATTTTGTAGCTGCTTGCACGTTTTTTTCTCAAAAGCCATTGGCCGCTTATAAAACGTCGCTCGTGGACGTTGTTTGCTGATTGCTAGATAGAATTATGCATATTATAGTAATTACCGTGTCTGTGGGCTACCAGATCATACGTATAGATGATTAAAGGAGGAAACAACTCCTGTAGATTGATCTTTATTATATTTATATTGTTTTTATACAATGCTTTATTGCTAATTTCCATCAGAAACGAGACACTTACAGTAAATTCTTCAACACAAATATTTACGAAAAATTTGATCGTGATATTAGCAGGATGTCCCTAGAACTATCGAATGCACTATATACGAATTTTTTGAGTAAGACGTATTGTTTACATCGGTTATTTTTTATTGAGCTGCCTGAATAGGCCCCTTGCATCAAATTTTTTTATTGCTGATTTCGATAGTCCATGAAAAATAAGTCAACACGTGTTTTTTCTTTTTCTTCTTAGTCAAAAATTGACGGAGATACAACGCTATGAAATATGCCTATGACGTCATCAGGTATAATACTTTATGACGTCGCACATGCTCAGTATATCTATATATACAAAACTTAATATTTGTATAACTTCCGAAATAATCATATTTGGGCGAAATGAAAAAAAAGTAACGATTTTTTTTCGATTTCCTACAGTTTGCAATAAACAATAATCAATTTAATTTTCCATGCAAGTACCCTATTGTGAATAATTTATTCTTTTCTTTAACGGTATATACTACCTCTTGAGTTCTCTTAAAGTTGGCGGCTGCTACTGGATGGAACTCGATCCAATTAATAAGCAAATATCGTTTTCAATAATGTCGGTTAATTGGTTATTGCTAAAGTGGATAGTCAACTGCTCGTGAATATTTTAGAGTTAATTAGTAGTATATATGACTTGACAAAAAACCACATCGATTATGTTGATATCACTTTATATACTGAAACCCCGGTGAAAAACCACTAAAAAATTTGCTATGCGGTTTGGATGCTGAAAAATCCTATTCGGATAACCGCAGACTCGTCTTCTGACTTATTGACAGGATTTTGCGGTTTTTGGAACAAAAAAAAACTTGTTAAGATTTTGCTTGTTGCTTCAAAATCGCTTCTGAAATTTCGATACCATGAACAAATATAATGACTGGCAGAATCAAATTAACACAACAATTTTTCAGTCTCCAAGTGGTTTTGATGGATGTGGGTGAACAAGTGCTATTGAAAAGTTACGTTATAATCGCTCGGCCACACATTGTTGAATCCTGAACTTATCACCTACACAAAGCATTTTTTTTTAATGTAGGTATATAGGAATTATTTTCTAGATTAGTCATGTGCTATATATCCTAATATTTGCAAAAATTGTTCAAACGCCACTGTCTTAGTGTCTTCGGCATATTAGCGAATTTGCTTGGGGTTATGATATACCGACAATTGAATTATTAACCGTCAAAAATTAATTTGACGTGATTTTAGCGTTAAATGGTTTGACAATTAACATTACAATACATCTGATTAATTCGCATCAATGTTAATCTATTCCTCAATCAAAATGTCATCATCACAATAAGAAATCCAATCAGATAACTTCTCATAGGTAATCAATTGGACAAATTGTGTCTCAATCCGTCCCTGACATTATCTACCTAAGCGCGCAGATCCAATTTAGCGAAGAAATCTACTTCAGTATTACCTACTTATTCCTTCTAGATCTAATTAGGCGCTCGATACCAGATAGCAATTTTATCAGTGGCAATAAACTTTGCAGCCGCTAATTAGACAAATAACCAGATCTAGCTGACGATTTTTTTACAACTTTAATGACTACGACTTATTGCGTCACATTATGCTGGTATGTGAGAAACTCATCTTATTTGGAAGAATAACTTCTATAGCCTCGTAAAGATACCTTGATAACTAAAGAAACATAAAATAATAACATCCGCAGTACCTATCCAATAAAAAATAATATCTCAAAAATATTAATTGAGTGCCAGTTTATTCAAGTCCAGTGAATCTAGATACAATTGGTATAATTCAAATACTCACTTCCTTTATTTTTACCAATAGTCATCAATAATAATTAATAGCCGCTAAATCTCCATTTGCGAATTATTTTGTAAGCATAAATAATATTCACACAATTAAAAAATATTTGCATCAAATTTATATCCGCTTGACTTTTTCTTTAACATCCTGCATAATGCAGAAGTGGATAACAAAAGTCAGGAGTCGACAACCGCCGAAACAATTGAGGAATCTCCCAGAAGGACCGTCATTGTTCTTAATTATAGCAGAACGCCTTGACAATGACACTGGTACCATTATGCAACAAGTTACACTACGCTGGCTCGCTATGAGTTCTCACACACCAACCTTCTCGCGTTTTTAGCACGATACGTTCAGGATCGGACTAGAAATCTTGTTCATTATTCATTAAAACAGCTAACATTTCAGGTTTTCCATGTCATGGTACCAATTTCTAGTTACCATCAGACAATTACGGAAATAATTTTAGAACGAGCTCGAAAATGATCTCTGAAATAATAATTGATTCAATCATTATCTCATTCACGGTAGTTCGGTTCTGTACAATAATTATACAGTGGCGCTTTCACTAATATGTAATCGCTTATACAATGTGCCGTGGCCGTGACATTGACTTTCTGATTCACCATGTGTGTGTGTCGGTGAGAATGTGATTAAATGCCGCGTTATTACGCTTTATCTGATTTCATTCTGGGCGATTTTAGTTTAGGCGTTATAGATTCTGACTTCTGACAATGATTTATCTATGATGTTAGATACAGACTCGAAAATCAGGACAAGCTCTACTATCAAATAGGTCATGTCCTGCAAGTTGATAGATAATAACTGGTACTTTTATACAATTAGAGGAGCATACAGAGAACTTAAACAGATTTGTATTTATGAAATGTATGAACTTAGTTTATTAATGATTTAATTGAGCTAGGGCATAATGCCTGAAGAAATTAGTTAATGAAATGTTAAGGCAACAAACTCCCAGAATTTGTAACAGTGCGCCTGAGTATAGCAGGGCAAAAAGTATTGAAATAACTCATTTTTTAAGTATATTTGACTACCTTTAAATACAGTGGAAAGGCTGAGTTTCTTCTCCTCTTCTTTATCCATGGAAGGGTTTCGAAAGATATGAGGTCTACTTTTTTGAACACGAATATACTGATGAGACCTGGTTTAGGTAGAAACGCGTTCGTTCATGGAGCATCGAGGAGAATAAATATTTCTTTTGTTTGGATTGGCCGATAAACCATACTGGGGTTTCTGTACTATTTTCTCCTGGAGCTCTATTCGGCTTCATTTTGTCTATTTCTTCTGATTCTATATTTGTTATCTGTCTTCTGTTTATTGTGGCTGGTTCGTTTATTTTGTCTTTGTATACTTCTTGATAATAGTCTTTTGGATCTATAGTGAGTAATTAGTTGTCGTGTGTTATAATAGACTCGTCTTCCTTTTTCATTAAGCTTATCATCAAGTTCGTCTATCGTGTGGTTTTCTGTTGTTTGACTGTACCAGGTTCTTTTGTTGTTCTTTTTGATAAACTTTTTTTTCCCGGTGATTTTTATTCTTGGCGTTTTATGAGTGATTTCAATGAAAAAATATACATTTTCTAAACTATTTGCCAGCCAGACAATACGACATATTGAACATTGGGGAATTACACTTAGCAAAGTGGCCGCTCACTAATTTGTTTTCTAAACAGAACTCTGAAGTAGGTACCTAATTTGAATTCGGTGAGATTGGGATTGATAACTAAAATATACGTGATTTATTCAAAAACAAGTTTTATAAAAAAGAAAACAGTCAACACGATCAATATAGGTACGCTTGATACATGACAGTAATGACAGAAATTTAAAATGTCTTCCTTGGCAAAGTACCTGACAAAAATAGTGTCTCGAAATGATCAAGGGAAATATTGGAGATAAATAATCAAAAATAATATTAAAGAAATTCTAAAAGAACGGTGTCATGAAATTCTTCTTTTTATATGGATTTAATAGGTATCTATTATTTTTTTGGATTTCACGGGAAATTCAAATTTTGTACATAATAACCTAATTTTCCGGAAATTCGCAGTTAAAAATGTCAAAAAGAAATATTTCAACTCACTTTTGGCAAAAATCTATTGAAGGTAGCTTCAAACAAAGTAGATACGATATTGTCAACTTATTTTCAAAACACTAATGCCTCATACCACAAACATGTCATTTGCGGTTCAACCGGCAGGTTTCGGTCGATCATTTTTTGAGGTTACGTCACTCTAACAATCCTTATGATATACTCAATACACTTAACTTAATTACGCATTTAGCAGAAAGTTAAGTTCGCTAAAAGGAAACTGACGTGATCAAACGGAACATTTAACTTAACCCCTTGGCTTTACTTAACTTAGCCCCGGTTCATTCTTCTTCAGATAAACTAACTAGAAACTACTTACAAGATTTCACCAATCTATAATCCTATTGGTCGACAGATAACTGACCGGCCAATTGTAAGTTTGCATTTCCTGACGGTTTATCAGAAGTTTTTGCGCAAGCGCGAACTTCTGATATTGCATTTCATAGCAGTATTTTGGTACTTTTATTGTCTCAACACAAAAATCAAAATTGATTTTAAAAATGTTCGTGCCTATAGACACATTGTGGCTTCATCAGAATACTATTAGGTATAATTAAATTTACTATGATGGACTAGTGCGCGGAAAAATTTATATTTTATTTTTATATTTACTTCTTTGTTTAATTTTTTTTTATTTTCTTTCTAGGGCGCGCCATGAAGGCGTGGACTCAACTACTCAAGCCGGGTTCGGCATTAGTAACCCTCCTTTTAACCCTAATTTTTGCAACACAAACTCAAGCTGGTAAGTCGAAATTTCACCTTTGTAACATGTAATTTTATCATTTTTATCATCAAATTATTATTATTGCCAGCTAATGAAAACAATCAATTAACACGCCTAATAAGTATGTTGTGAACATGGTAACTTATCGATCAATAAGCAAATTCAATATGGGTGTATACCGACTTAATGGGTGTCAGGTACCACGCGGAATATTAAAAGCTATCAAATCGACTCTATTTTAGATGATAAGTATTTAACGGGTTGCCCCATGCCGGTAATAATGAATTGCCACTCCAAGAACCTCTCGGTCTTTATCAGGAAACGTAATTTATTAAGGCTGACATCGCCGGCGCGGAGAAATAATAATAAATATAAATCTTTGCTTAGAAGCTATCATTTTTTTTCCATTGACTGATATAGAAAATAGATTTCGAGATAGATGGCGGTACCTTACGCGGGGATCGTTTAATCCAATAAATTTTTACGGATAAGGAAAGAAAATACGACGGACTTGACAGTTACTTTTAAAGGCTGATTCATGACGGATAGCATTTTAGACGTTCCTGGAAAATCAAATATTTTCGACAAAGTATATCAAAATATAAATAAAAAGTTGATGCGAGTTCATAAAGCCCTGCACAAATTCATTACATTTTTTAAAAACGTTGGAACTTAAAACAAAATCGTTGCCCAGTATCACCACTGCTTTTTTAAAAAATGGAAATCACCATGCAGTTCTTAATCCATTTTTAAATTTCTTGTTTAATTTTCAGTTTTAATGATGATGCATATTATGCTATACCAAAATCCAATTATTTTGAGCTATACCTGCTAACCAATTCAAACTAGACATGGAATAAAAGGAATTAGGCAATCCAAACCACATGACATTCAATATGGCGTGGCGGCCACACATGGACCAATAAAAATATATGGTTTCTGCCCGAAGTACCTAGTAAACAAATATTTTATTGAATAATCAAAATCAAAGCTGCAAGCAAAACTCGAAGCAAAATAATTAAAATATGCATGAAAACACTTTTAATTTATTGTAAGAAATCTCTCCAGTTAGGGGAATTATGCACAATCTTGCAACACAACCTGATGACTAGAAAATTCTCGAATCAAAATTTAGCGCGCAATAGTCCAGCGAATTCAAGACGAACAGAGAAAAATATAAAGTCTTCTGCGAGCCAGAGCTCCACAGTCGTATATTATGTGTAAGGTGGTTTCCTCCTCTTCACCACACAGTCTGCATTCCGTTGGGCCATTGTAGACTCCCATTTTATGCATGTGCGCTTTAAGTATCCTGTTAGTAGTCCTACCACCTGTGTTATCTGAGTACGCGTTAGTGACAGTAGGTACTTAAGCTGTTAGCATCTTTAAGAGGTTTCCAATTATCCCCTTCTAGTGCCTTGCTCCAGGTGTGGGCCGCCAATAGTCGAGGTGTTGATGGGTCGAGCACCTTTCAACTGTCGTCTTTATAACCTGCTTCGATATCCCAAATGCGGGTTCTGGTCTTGTGTAGGGTGCCCGCATTACCAGGTTGTCAGCCTTTTTATCGCCTTCTATCCCCGAATGCCCAAGAACCTACATGGGCTTCATCCTGATATTCCTTGACAACAGAGCTTCCAGATCGTGTAGGCATTCCATCGTTATTCTCGAAGTAAATCGTTGTGAGTTCAGAGCTTTTAGAGCAGCCTGACTGTCTGAGAGAATACTTGTGTTCTGGTTGTTATAACCCAGCCTCAGAAACTCCTGTGCGCATGCTTGAATTGCATGAATTTCTGCCTGGCACACTAAGGCATTAAGCCACAGAGGGGTGCTTTTTCTCTCTCCATATACGCCAGCTCCATCCGCTGTTTTGGGGCCGTCCATATACCAGGGTCTTTATTCTTGAAACAGGGAAGCAGCGTTCCCAGGAGAACGAGTGTTTCGTCTTTGTTACTTATAGTATTAGTTGCATATCATTGAGAAAGACGGAACACACGTTCTCCTGAGAACGCTGGTTCTCCTGAGAACGCTGCTCTCCTGTTTCAAGAATAAGGACTCAGACCAGGCCTGAGGCTTTCCTTCCTGCCATATACTTGGATCGCATATGACTTTGAATGATTTTTCAAACTTATGGGTCACCACCATTTGATCCGTTTCAATTTCCACTATGTTATCGTCCATCAGGTCGATCACCTTTATGTGGCCGTAGTTGCCTGGTGTTGCTTTCCATTTCCTGGCAGCCCTCATCCGGTGAACATTGAGAGGAGCTAGCTCCAGAATTGCTTCCAGCGGTGCAGAGGGTCTGCTTCTCATAGCCCCGGTAGTGCACAGACATGCCTCATAACCATGGCGTACAGCCATGTCATGGTCTTTGGTCTCAGACCCCATGCATTTCCCAGCAGACCTCTGCATCTAACTAGACGCATTTTTGTTTTGTTGTTAAGGTTTCTCTCTAAAGGTAAGTTCCATGCTAACTTGGAGTCCAGGATTAGACCTAGGTATTCCACTTCGTCAACTACCTATCCAAGTTTTTTCAAACTAGTCTTATCATGTCTTCAATAAAGCCAACACCTTACATGTAAAGAACTATCCAGAAACCTTGATGTTGTGACAAGATCAGTTGTTGAAATCTCACACATAAATAAATATCATCCGTACAAAATGGAAAGTCTATGCAAGAAGTATAGGTCCCATCACCAGATTACATACCTACTGTTAATAGGACCGATACTTCTTGAAGAAAATTCGAATAGCCCACGATATTTAGATTTCCTACGAGAACACTTCCAGGGTTCCATTGTTTCCGGGAGAACAAAATCCAGATATGTCCAGCCAAAACATTTGGCTCCAACAAAACGGACCACCGCTACATTCTGGAGTTTATCTAAACGATGTTTGTCGGAATGGAAGGATCCCCAGATTTAACTAGTCATGATTTTTTCTTCTTGAAAATGCAGTTTTTACCACTAAACCTGTTGATATTTGAGATACAAAAGTGGAAGAGAAATTTATTTATTGATAAGGTTACTGTAAATTTGATGAAAAAATTTTGCTCATCTAATAAAATAAAAATTTTCCGAATTTTTCTTTTTTTGCTAAAAATTATTTTCATTGCTGGTTATTCATTTTATTGCATGTCCAGTTGAAATTTGCTATAGCTAAAAAACAATTGGCTATAGTATATGCAAAGCGAATAATATGTCAATAATATAAAAACTGCTGAAAATTGAAGAAGAAATCCAAAACTGTATGAAACCTTTTGAAAAATCAGAGTGGATAGGTCCAGCGCAGCAATTTTTGGGACACCCAGTATAATTTTTGAGAAAATATCACAAAGTTTCTAACAAAAAACAAAATTTTTCAAAAACTTGGAAATAATAAATAATGAAGTTATGCGGTATTTTATAAAAAATATTCTAGGTAGCTACTTATACAGCGTGGGCAAAAAGAATAGAACACCTACAGGGGTTTGAAAACAAACTTTTTTTGAAAAATCGCTCGGACCCATCAATTTTATTTTTAAGCTGCGCATCTTTTGATGAAAAAAAATATATACAGGGTGTCCCAAAAATGGCGTTACTTGCATCAACTGTGTTATTTTAGGTGGCAACCCTGTATATTATAGCATTTTTGGATTCTATGAAATAATGAACATGTTTCGTGTATAAATCCTATATCTATCTTCAATTGTTTCGGAAATATTGACAGTTGAAAATTTTTTGCAACTTTGAAAGGCTGTAAAACCTAAACGGTTAATTTAAAAAAAAAAAAAACCGGTCATCCATTCTTGTCTTACTCTTCCATAAACTATCATTTGACACCAACTTTGAATTTAATCCATGATTGAAAATAGCGGTTAAGCTAATCTTCGATTAAAGTTGGTGTTAAATTATAGTTTATGAAAAACTAAGACAGGAATGTATGATGGGTTTTGCTCTAAAATTAACCATTTAGGTTCCACAGCCTGTCAAAGTTGCAAAGAAGTCAATTTTCACCTGTCAATTTTTCCGAAACAGTTGAAGATAGGTATAGGACATTATACATGAAATATTTCCATAATTTCTGGTAGAATCCAAAAATGCAATAATATACAGGTTTGCCATTTGAAATAACAAATTTGATGCAGGTAACACCATTTTGAGACACTCTGTAGATTTTTTTTTTCTTTGACGGGTCCGAGCAATTTTTCAAAAAAAAAGAATAGTTTTGAAACTCCTGTAGGTGTTCCATTCTTTTTGCTCACGCTGTATAGCTAATCAAGGAAAGTGGAAACTGATTTTTCTATGACCATCAAAAAATAAACAACTTTCGTCATATTTTACCTTAGCTGAAAACGTCATTTTCGTCACTAGTGATAAAGTATCCCATACCGTTAACTTTCGTCACTAGTGACGAAATTGGATGATTAGGATTTCACATGTTAAGTAAATTCTTTCAAATCCAATCATCAGGGACGTAGCGAAGGCCTCTGGTTTGGGGGGGGGGGGGGGGGTTGACATTCCTAATTTTCGCAACTTTATTAAAATCATCATACACGTGTTAAGAAGTGAAACTTCTTTAAAACTATTCCCTCCCTGATACAACTTCTAGACTTATGCCCGTATTACATCTGTGTATTTTTCCGTGTATTTATTCATGTAGTTCAGGGTGACAACCGAAAAACTTCAAACGCGAAATAAATCAGCACTATGAAAAACAAAATAATGTTGGCACCCTGAACTACATGAATAAATACACGGAAAAATACACAGATGTAATGCGGGCATTATAGCGCATGAGTCGAGGTATAAAGACGAAAGGCTACACAAAAGACAAACGCGCATCTGTAGTGACGTCACAAGGGTATCGCCGCTTGACAATATTAGGTAATCCTCTTTGCATATAAACCTTGGTTTGTGTCAATCGTTGGTCGGCTGTCATTGTCATTGGCTGTCTTTCTCCGTCTCTCTACATTATATTTTTTTTCTCTCTCGTCACTCATGTGCCGAAATTTGCCCAAAACGTGTCGTTACGTGTAACGTGAC